CAGGGACAGATGGACAGACGGACACAGGGACAGATGGACACATGGACATACAGATGCACGGATGGACACACGGACAAGGGGCGCAGGGCTCCCCTCCCCCGCACTCCTGATCCCCTACGGGGGGGTCAGACCCCCCCCACTCCTCCCCCCCCCGGCCCTGGAGGGAGAGAAGCGACGGCGATGGGGGAGGGGCGGCCGGGGGGGGAGGGGCTGCGGGGGGGTCCCGGTTCCAGGAGGGGTCCGGGGGTCCCTCCCGGCCCTCGGCGTCACCTGCAAAGGAAAGAGGCGCCCCCACCCCTCCCCCAACCCCCCCAGACCCCCCAAAACCACCCCCACCCCCCCACGGCACCGGCAGGGACCCGCCTGGGCTGGGGGAGCTCCGTGTGTTCTAAGTGTATTCTAGGTGTGTTCTAGGTGTGTTCTAGGCGTGTTCTTGGCATCTTCTGAGTTCTAGATGTGTTCTGGGTGTGCCTGCCGTGTCCTTGGCATGTTCTGAGAGTCAGCAGGGCCTTGGCGTGTGCTTGGTGTGTTCCTGGTGTGCTCTGGGTATGTCCCAGCCGTGTCCCAGGTGTGTCCATGTATCGCCCAGGTGTGTCCCAGGTGTGTCCCAGGTGCGACCCAGCGGTGTCCCAGGTTTGTCCCAGGTGTGTCCCAGATGTGACCCCGTGGTGTCCATGTATCCCCCAGGTGTATCCCAGGTGTATCCCAGGTGTGACCCAGGTGCATACCAGGAGTGCTGAGCATGCCCAGGGTCCCTGCAGTTCTGGATGTGACCAGCAGTGTGTGTTCTGTCACCATTTTTGAAACCAGGTGGGGCAGTGATCCTTATCTCTGTGGGAGATATTATCTGCTAATGGGCCATCTGTTCAAACCAGCTGGGGCAGCCATCCTTATCTTTTCCATAACCCACCCCTATTCCAGGAAGAGATCAGCTGTTAATGGTCCATTGAGTCCCTCTGCATGACTGATAAAATTACCTGATCCCACTGGGAGATGCTCCAGCCACGGGCAGGAGCCAAGCCTTTCCTACCTAGATAAAAATGGAGTTTTGAAACACCAAAGCAGCCTTTTTTCCGCTGGATTCCAGAGGAAAACTGGACCTTTCCACATCATCACTGGGAATTTGGAAGGAAACTGCCCCTGCTTCAACAGAGCCACATCTGTCACTGCAGGAAAACTGCAGCCACCACTGAATGCGACTGCTACCAACACCATGCCTGACAGGGTATCAGGTTGTATTCTGACTCTGTCAGTGTTTTGGGTTTGTTCTTTGTAATACTGAATTTCTATTTTAATTTTCCTATTCCCATATCTTTGTCTGAGAGCCCTTTAATTTCAAAATTCTAAAAATTTGGAGGGAGAGTGTTTATATTTTCCATTTCAAGGAGAGGCTCCTGCCTTTCTTAGCAGACACCTGTCCTCTAAACCAGGACAGATTTTGGCGCCCAACGTGGGGCTTGAGGGCATCAAAAGAAGATTTTGGCGCCCAACATGGAGCTTGAGGGCATCAAAAGAAGAAAAAGAAATAACAGTTCTTGAGTAACCTAATGTTTGGTGTGCTGGATACAGAAACCTCTTTAGGTGGCACCATGTGGTCCAGCTTACCCTGGTTCAACTGGCACACAGTCATGGTTGTATTTCTCCCATTTTCATGACTAATATAAACATGGGCCCTATAACTAAGGCCACTGTGGCTGTTATCCAGTTTGCTTTATGGGTTAATAAGGTGAGGAATTCATGGATTTTTACTTCCTCTGGAAGGTGGGCACAGGGATGCAGCGGCATCACACACTAACTGTATGTTTTTGGGATTACTTCAATCATGGTACCTACTGTGAGGGAGTGACATCGGGGGAAGTTTTCTCCCAACTCTTCAACCAGTTTTCGAAGGGTTCAAACCTTCTCTAAATGATATCACACAGATGAAAACAAGGCACCTAGATAATAAGGATAAGAAAGGAGGGCCCTCACAACCAGCAGGGGAGCCAGAGGTTGAGATCCTCACTGAGTCCCTGCCGTATAAAAGTCTCCGTAATCTGCGAAAAGATATTGTACGATGGTGGCATGAGGCTTATACAGCTTGGATACTTCAGGTCTGGGAGCTTATGGGGACAGGTGTGAAAGTGGATGCAAGGAATTTGGGACCTTTGACCCAGGACTCAGGTGTGGATCAGGTGTTCGTAAAGGAGACAGGCCCCCTTTCCCTCTGGGAGTGGCTTTTAATGAGTGTGAGAGAGAGGTTCGTCCACAGGGAAAGAATGCAGGAGCACCATCATAGAATGCGCTGGAAGA